GTGGGCGGCCCGTCCCCTGCGCGCTGCGGGCGGGCGGGCGCCGGAGCCGCCGGAGTTTCCGCGCGCGGGAGGGAGATGCGGCCGCGGCTCGGGCTCCTTGCAGGTAACGCGGGCGGCCCCTGCAAGGCCAAGCGCGCCGCGGGCCGAGCGGAGTTGGGCGCGGAGCCGGCGCTGGGTCCCCGCCGCAGCTCAGCCGCGAGCCCCGTGGGGCGGCCCGGGCGGGGACGGCGCAGCCGAGGAGCGGCCCGGCACGAGGGCCCCGGTGCCTGCGCCCCCCGGAAGCAGCCCGGGACAAAGGGCGCGGTGCGGAGCGTGACCCCGCCGCCCAGCCCTCAGCCCCGAGCGCGCGGGAGCCGCCACCTGGCTGGGGGACCCCACGCCTGGCCGCCCCCTGGTGCAGCGCGAGTAAAGCTAGGCGGCTCCCCGCAGCGCCGGGGGTGCCAGTGCCTCCGTGCCCGGCTGCGGTGCCACCACGCCGGGGCGCCGGGGCGCCGGGGCCGGTGCGCTGCCACTTCCCAGCATGGGCGAGGAGTTGGGGAAGCAGAGCAGGTGGTGCACCCCAACCTCACCTCTCGCGAACTCCTGATCCGCGGGGTGCCTGATTGTGTTGATGTTGTGACTGTGGGCTGCTTGTGTGTTTTCTTTCCTTTTTTAACCGCACATAAAAGAAGGGAGGAGTTAGAGCCACGATCTACCCGATGTGAGTCATCCCCACTCCGCTACTTCCCGGGAGCAGATGGGTGGGGAGAAATCCTTGGGAAACAGTTTATCGTAAGGACTGACAGGATCTTCTGCTTGGCCCCTCTCTTTGCATTCTGCCACCCAGCTGGCACGGCCCAGGTGGAGGTGGGGCAAAGCCACGCCGGCTGATTGATGGGAAAATGGCTACAGGATAGCAGGCTGGAAACTTTCTCTTAAGGGACCCGAGCATGTGGAACCACACACAGACCTTCTCGTGCAGGACTGAATTAAAAATCCAGAGGCGGCCACACCTGGACAAATAGCTTCAGTAGCATCTGGCCCAGCGCCACCTAAGGAAAGTCGCCCCGGGACAGGAGCACCAGCTCCCCAGTCCAGGCCCCTGGATGCTGGGTCAGAAGCCCTCGTGTTCTTTAACCTGATTTCCAGAAGGCAGCTGGCTGTGTGGACAAATTGTTCCGGGTGCGGTAGAGAGGCCAGCAGGCCCGCCTGTACCTGCAGAAGTGTGTTCTAAAGAAGGTGACTGCTGCTAATTTTCCAAAGTGAACCATTTAGGTTCAGTCTTGACCTGTTTACTGCAATCCGGGCTGCTTTTTCAGCTGTCACTGGGTCCCTGTGGTTCACAGCTGGGTGACATTTAGGGAGGAGTCTTTATTTGAGGTCTTTTTTATCTTTTTATTGATGATTGATTAGTCTTAACCCCCTAAAAATAGAGGATGATATTAGAAGGTTGAGGAATTGGAGCTAAAGAGACTTCTGATGTGATACAGATTGACCTGCAGTTTAGGGGCCAGTTAAATGGGACACAGGAGACAGATGGCCCTCGGAGCACCTCTACAGCTGGGTGGAGCACTACCTGGCCTCGGGTCACTGTGCAGCTCCCATCTGGTCCTCCATGAGGAGAACTGACCAGGTAGCAAGGGTGCCAGGCAGGTCATCACCTGGAGATGATAGGGCAGCACAGCTAGCACCCATCGAGAGGAAAGCTCATGACATAGGTATACAACAGGGTGGGGAGAGTTGGTACCCAGATCTCCCATCTCATGTGGGCATCGCTTCTTTTACCTGAACCCCAAAACTCACTGGAACAAACGTCATTTCCTGCTGGAGGAAGGAGGGTTGGAGTCAGGATCACTGTGAATGGCTGTGCACTTTATGCAGGACATGAAGGCGGCTACCCAGAGAAGCTGTGAGCCATGGATCTGCCCAAAAGAAAGGTCCCCCTTTCTCAATTGCACCCAGACCCTGGAGGGGCCGCTGCTGGCCCTGGCTGGTGCGCCCATGTGTAGGAATAACAGTTGGCAGCAACATAGGTAACCCCATGAAGGCAGACAGGGACTAGGCACCAGGAGCTAAGTTCTCCAAAATCAGAGCAGTAATGGAAGCTAACGCTGCTTACACTATCTTCTTTGATCTTTACCACCACCTCCAAAGAAAGTAGTGGCACCTCTCTTGCTGGTGAGGAAATTGACCCTTGGGAAGACAAACAGTGCAGATGAGCCTGGTGGAGAGCCTTCACTCTCAGCCCCTGGACTGGAGTCAGGACTTTGCGTGGGTGTAGCTTTTGGGGGTTCTTTTCCATTTGCTAATGAAAGACATTTTCTGAACCACTCCACTAGATGACTGACCATCTTTAAATGAAAGGGATATTTTATTTTCATGGTGGCAGAGAAGTAGTGGAGGTCTTAGAGACTAAGGGGGAGGACTCCCTCTGAGAAGGGCATGAAAATGCAGACGGGGTGGAGCGGAACAGCACAGACCCCAGGTTCCATGCTGTCCCTGCTGCAAAAGAGACGATTCTGAGATTGGCCCAGTGAGCTTCAGAGTTCCCAAGGGGTGGGGCAGGCCCACCAGGTCTCCTCGGGTGTTGGAACCCACAGTCCGCCCTACTGAAACCTGGGCTCATGTGGGTACCAAAATGAGTATGTCATGAGCAATCAGATGAAAGTGAGACAAGGTAGCTAATTTAGCAGCCAGTATTTCCTTACTTGTCTTCCTCTGAGGCCATTTGAATCCCATAACAAACTTATGTGAAGTAATAATTCAAATATTTGGGGCTAAAACAGCATCAAAACCAATTATATGATTGTTTATCAGCTCACAACTCTACTGTGGATTTAAAATCAGTATAAGTGTTTTATTTCCCTCCAGATTTAAGTTTATAAATCAAAGAACATGTTAAGTTGTGGTGTCTTCCCACCTATTTAGTCTTTTGATTTTTTTTTTTTTAAGTAGCAGGAGTAATATTTTTAGCTGAAGTGTAAACACAGTGACTGGGTCCTGCATAGTCACCTGAATTGTGTTTGTAACTGTCTTGATCTGAGCAGTGGTTTATCCTTTTGTTGGAAAAGAAAGGAAGGCGGCAGAGAGTGGCTGGACTATTCCCCTGGCACTTGCTGAGAGCTTACCTTACATCAGCTGGTGGGCCCCAAGGGACGAGCATCTTTCATCTCTGGACTGTAAATCTGGACCTCCTTCCACCCTTGGAAAGGCCCAGCGTTGCCATGGAGCAGTGTGTCCTGCTGCCTGTTGATCTGGCTGCATCATCACAGATGGATGTGGCCTCAGATTTCTATTCGGCTGGCTTCTTGTTGATTGCATGATCTAGAACATTCCCTTGGAGACCTAGAAACAAAGCTCTCCAAGCTGCCCACCCAGATAGAGAGCTGGGATGCCCTTCCATCTCAGTATGAAAGGTATGGAGGCCAGGTTCAGAGTGGGGAAGATGAGAGCCCTGGGCCAATAAGCTAGTACCACAGGAGGTTCCTGAAGAAAATTCTGTTAAAGCTCATGAAAGCAAGTATGGTAATAGGTCACCTCCCCCGAGCATTCATTAAAACACAACAACCATGTAAGGTAAATACGCTCACCCCTGGTTTAGAGGTGAGGAATCAGGCCCAGAGAGGTTAAGTAACTTCACCAAAATTACACAAGATTGGAATCAGTCAGTCTGACGCAGGCATGGTCCCCACAAATCTTAAGAAAATAAGCATCTACTGGAGATGTGGGGAGAATGGGCCACATACATGTGATTTGTGAGAGAGTGTGATGTTTGGGCCAATTCCAAGGCCAGAAGCTGTTTGGCAGCTCTCGCTGTTGGAAAGTTCTTAGGCTTCGCGGAATGCTACAATAAAGGACAGGGACATACGACTAATAATGGGAAGGCCGAGGCGCAATTTGCCTGTTTGAGAGGAAAATCCAAAATATGTGTATTTTTAACAACTCTTGCCAGTACTGAAAGTCAGCAGAATTGCCTCCCCTCTTCTTTGGGACGTAGCTCAGCCCTTTCTGGGGAAGGTATTGTCCCAAAGCAGTCGGTCCCTCTGCCTGTCTCTCTCTCTCTCTGTGGGCCCCTAACACTTCGGTCGTTTGTTCTGCCTCCCGATTTCCCTCTCATATTTTCATCTAACTGGCGAGCGTACCTGAGTGTACACCAATTGTGAGCTTTTCCCCAGTCAGAATTGTGTGTGATACGCTGTACCCCTCTCCCCACAACAAACACACCATGTGTCTAGATCCAGCAATCAGTATTTTCCTTAACTTGATGAAATGGATGGTAACTTTTTTTAAGCTTTGTAAACTGACAGGGTTTCTTAAAAGTGATTTGCCTTCTGGCATTGAATGCAGTTAGAAGGGGTTGAAGACGCTGCTGTGGGCAGATCCTGATGCATACAGCATCCCACTGAATCAGTTTCTAAGGGTTCCGCCTAGCCCATCCACCATAGAAACCAAAGGGCTTCTGACTGCACAGGCCATGGTAAGGCCCAGGAATCCACCTGTCCCGGGTGACATTTTAGCACATCAGAGTTTGAAATCCACAAGTTAACATTGTTAATGATCACAACCTAAAAAACTGCAGTACAAGTGACTAACTGCGCTGAAAGTAAGTATGTCTACTGCAGAAGCAGTCCTCACAGTGCACTGATGAATATTTATACGATGTTATTTTTCTTACAGGGCTCTAACCAGCATAATGCTGGAGCAAGAGGCTGGCAGCACGCAGTTTTCACGATGGCCGAGCTGGATGCCGATTTGGATGCCATCATCCCATCTTCTTTCCTTCCCCCCTTCTGGGCTAAGTTAGTAGTGGGATTTGTTTCCCTCCTGTGTTTCGCACGGAGCTATGATGGCGATTTTGTCTTTGATGACTCTGAAGCTATTGTTAACAATAAGGTTTGTATCTTAACTCTTTTCTTATGTTACCCATGCACCTCTGTCCCAGGGATCATCTCAGTTGTTGTCGAATTAAGCATGAGTGAATTAAGCGTGGTGTTGAGTTAAGCATGTGCCCCAGCGGTGCTGTAGCCTTCCCGTCTCTTTCACTATCATCTCAATTCCATACCTCTTTGGTCACCAGCAGCAGGGTCTCCAACCCCCTCTTAACCTCATGAGGCCACGTCCAAGGTGTTACAGGGCATTCCAGACTGAGTGTTTCAGGGTTTGTGAACAATTTCCAGAGCTGGTCAAAAAGAAAAATCATGCGACGTGCAGTGATGCATGGGATGCAGGGTACATCCCCAGCAGTGGGCTGGCTTTGTCTGTCCTTGCTGAGACTGAAGACACCCTCCTGACAGCTGCCAGGGCCATGCACCATGCTGCCTGGGGAAGCTGTGGTTCTTGCACATTTTGTGCTTGAAGATGCAGGTTTGCTGAACTTGCAAAATCTCAGTCAGCCTTGCTCACCACTTCCGGCTGTCAGTACAGGGAAATTGCTGTTTTTCACTAGCTAACCAGTTCAGGGAGAAGAAAGCAATTTTGGGGAAGGGAAGAAGAAGATTCAGATAAACCAAAGGGAAATCAGAATAACAAGCTCAGAGGCAGGGAAGCCCCAGAGAAGAAAGAACTTGGAAATGATGAGGACAGGCCTTTGTGACAATCTGTCACTCAGTAGACAGTTTGTGTGTGTTGCTTAATTAGTGACAAGGACATAAAGGAATTCACCCATCTTTTTCTCCAGGAAAGGTAGCGGTAACAACTCAGCAGCACTACTGTTGGATGCTCTTAAAGACAAGAGTTGTGAGGGCTCAGGATTTAGCTCAGTGGTTCCGCTGCCTGCCTCAAAAGCGCAAGGTCCCAAGTTCAATCCCCAGTACCAAAGAAAAAGACAAGAGTTGTGGATTCCACCAGAGGAGGACAGAGTCATGTTTACTTTGAAAGTGTTGAGGAAAACTGTCTGTGTAAGAAGCAGTTATGCTATGGGAGGGGAGGTTGATTTGCAGGCATTTTGTTTAAAACATAACACTGTGATTAATTTTTACATTTTAATGGCATTAACTAGAGCATGGCTGATGTTTACTTCCATTTGTCGTTTCCTTCAAGTTCACCCAGTAGTGAGAATAGATGATTCTATTTCAGTTCTTTTTTAAACCATGCTTTAAAAAATACACAGGTCTAAAGCAACATTGGCAAATCGACGGCTTACTAGCCACAGAATTGCTTTGGTAATGAGAATGTGATTTTATTTTTAAAATTCTGTTCATCATTTTGATGTGACTTTCTCAGCTCTTCCACTTGGATATATAATGTGAGTTCAGAACAGAAGTTCGGAATTCTCATTAGCTGGCAGGGAGAGTGGGAGCTTGGTCAGTGCGAGTGCCATGTGCCTGGATGTGTCTTCTGCATCTTGTACCTCCGCTCCCTGTGGTCTGGGCAATGTTCGTATTGACAGCCCCGTGCCCTTGTGTGACCCTGCCAGCCCCGCCTTCCTCCTCTCCTGTTTCCTGGAAGGCCGCTTGTGCCTGCAGGATGCGAACTGGGGCCCGGTGGTGTTAGAGGCTTTTCTCAAAGCTTCCATGCAGTGTTGAGTTGCCTTTTTTTGTTCCTTGAGACAGTGATCTCCTTTGAGACCACGGAAGTGGGAGGAATCTCAGATACAATCTGTCATTTCCATAAACCATTATGAGGAAAAATTGACCTTTCTTGTAGTCGCACACCTTGCTGCACAGGGTAGTTTCTGCCTAATCAAATATTTAGAGCTCTCTAGTGTTCATTTCCCCGTCAGAGGGAGAGGGAGCTCCTCCACCCAGTGCCTTTGCAACTGAACAAGCACTTTTGTGATACTGCAAAAGAAGCGAGTCTCCCATTCTTCCGAGTCCACTAAGTTAGCAGGGGGAGTGCAGGACTTTCACCAATGTCTAAGGCCCCTGTGATGGAGTGGTTGGTACGCTCACAGCTTCTGAAGCTGATCTCAATGGAAGGGAAAGGGGCCCTGACAGTGGATAATGGTGACAAACTGCATCTGTCCCCTCCTCTCCAGGCTTCCCCTTTGAGCCACCAAACACTTAAGTACTAAACCCTACACTGCAGTACAGCATGCCATCCGATGCTCTTGGGGCAGCTGTCACCTGAGGGCAGCTTGTCCTTCCTCAAGGAGCATCCTGGGCTCTAAAGACTGCTGATCCGGAAGCTGGTGCTGGTGTCCATGCAGGAACCAGGCACACCCACCTGCTGGACCCAGAGCCAGTCATGTGAAGAGGTGGGACAGGAGGTGGCTGGCCGTGTGACGAGTGTCCAGCAGCATGGCACGTGCTCTCGTGCTGCTGCTGCAGAGCCCCAGCCTGGATTTCCAGTGCCCTGGTGAGCCTGTGAGCTTCCACGCCCCGTTAAAGCAGTGCCCTGTGCCTCGGTCCATCAGTTCCTTCCATTCCCGAGAGGAGGGATCCTAACAGATACTCTGGCGATGCTTAGCATCTCCTCTCTTCTATTTGTCAGTACTGGGGATTGAACCCAGGGCCTTTGTACTGAGCTACATCCCCAGGCTTTTTTTTTTTTTTTTTTAATTTTCTATTGTGAGACGAGGTCTCACTAAGTCACTAAGTTGCCCAGGCTGGGTTCAAACTTACCATCTCCGGCCTCAGCCTCCCAGAGTGCTGGAATCACAGGCATGTGCCACCACATCAAGCTGCATTCTAATTTCTCCTGCCTAAAACATCCCTGTTTAATTCCGCTTTAAAGATAAAAGTAATAACCAGATTTGCAACTCATTTCGCATTGCCATGTTTGCCTTTCACACCATGTAGTTTCATATTTTAAAGGTAAAAGATGCATTCGAAGTATATTTAGTATAGTGCCAAATGAAATTACTTCAGCTAAAAAATAGGCACGGTTTTTTTAGATAATGATTTTTATCTTAGCCGAGGATTTAGCTCAGTGGTTCAGCCACCTGCCTCACAAGCACAAGGATCCGAGTTCGATCCCCGGTACCAAAAAAAAAAAAATTATATGGAAGAATTTTTTTCTAATTTCACAGTCAGCTTAAATCATCAAAAATGGAACACTAAGAAGAATGTTTATCCACAATTACGTTTGAGTTGGGATAGTTTTTCTAAATTGCCTTTTTTTTCTTGGCTATGGAAGGATAGCAGTGACTTTATTTAGCTAAATATTCTATCTGTCCAACATATTTTAAGTCCTTTCTGTGTTCTCCTGGTAGGATCAGATGTGGTCCAGGTCCTGTGCAGCTCCAGTCTAGTGCTCCGAACAGATAGTGCGGGGGTTGGAAGCTGCCAGAGTGCCAAGCACTGCAGGGATAGGCGGGAGACAGGTGGGAGACACCCCGAGACCCGCTGAAGGGCGATGGGCTCCCTCAGGCCTCTCAGGGCTCTGTGCAGGGGACTCGGGTTGTGGAAAGCTCAGGGCGCTGATCCAGGGTAGCCCTGTGCATGCAGAGCCTTTGGGTGGGAGCTCACAGGAGCGGGTTAGGGCCACAGAGCTGGCCACATGGGGCTGCAGAGGTCAGAGGGAGCCGGAGCACCTCGGGCTGTGGCCCCGCCGGGACATCAGCTTTGTTCCGGCGCTGTGGGGAACTATTGCAGCATTTTAAGCTGGCTCGTGGGGTGTGCCATGGTACATCTTGGATCACTTGACGTAGAGAAGGCATTGGAGAGAGCGGAGGCCCCACTAGGAGCCTGGCTGTGTCTGAGTGGGAGACAGCAGGGCTTGGCCCAGGACAGGTAAGGCGCTAGAGGGTAGTGGGCAGGCTTGGGAGCTCAGAGGGGCTTGGGGAAGGCTTGGCTCTCAGGCTGTCCAGAATGCCCCCTGCTGTGTCCCCACAGGACCTCCACGCCGACACTCCCCTGGGAGACCTGTGGCATCACGACTTCTGGGGCAGTAGACTGAGCAGCAATACCAGCCACAAGTCCTACCGGCCGCTCACTGTCCTGACTTTCAGGTGAGCTGTCACAGGTTCCCAGCTTCAGGAAGTCCCGGGGGTGCTTCCCAGGGAGGGAGAGGCCACTGGTGCCCTGGACGAAGTCCACGCTGACTCCAGCTCTCGGAATGTGGCCCCTGGGAGGTGGGCAGATGGGGAGAGGACCTGAGGGAGCTACAGGGACCGAGGCTGGGACACACAGGGGACCTCAGACGCCACATAGGCGCTGCACCAGGCAGTGCGGGTCACTGTCTTGGCCTTTCTCAGAGTCCACCCTCTGCGGGGTGGTTAGCACCAAGGGAACGAGCTGATGCGTATCAGAGCAATATGGGGTGTGTGATTTGTTTCCTTGACCAAAAAATGAACAAGATATAAATCTTCCGACTGTAACCCGTATGCCAAACAAAAGTGAAGCTCACAAGCAGCCTCTTTGTCCCCATTCATCAGGGAGCTGTTCCCTTAACTAGATCCAGTCACCTCACAAAAGTTCTCATCTGTGCTGTTTCTCCAGTGCATTTAAATCCATATATAGATCTCAGAGAGTCTCAGAGTGAGGAATTGGAACCATCAAAAGTAAGAATTGCCAGGGCTGGGGATGTGCCATCAGTGGCACCTCGCCTGCCTTGCAAGCACAAGGTCCTGAGTTCGATCCCTGGTACCAGGGGGAAAAAAAAGTAAGAATTGCTGATGGCTGGCTGGGGATTTAGCTCAGTGGTTCCAGCACCTGCCTTGCAAGCATGAGGTCCCGAGTTCAATCCCCAGTACTGAAAAAAAAAAAAAAAAGGATTGCTGTTGGCAAAGGCTGATTGTCATACGTTAAGAGCATTTTGTTGTAGATAATCGGTTACTTGACTCTCTCAAAACCCGGTCCCTGAGGTAGTCATCTCTGCTATGTTATGTCCTCTTCGAATGCAGTCCTTCCTTTTTTGCACTTGAAAACTTGCCTAGCTTGATTTTCCTCTCCCCACCCCCTGGGATATGTCCCTCGCTTCTGATTCCCTCTCTGCGATTAATTGTGTTCACACTGTTTCTCCAGCCTGCTTAGCTTGACGGGCATTAACAGTGTGGTGCTATTTTTACCAAAGAGGCACAGGGCCTTGCTCACCTGCTTTCCACATCTCCGTGCACACTGTCGCCCTTGCACCTGACACGCCTCTCTGCATCTGTTGTGAACACTCTCGTTTGCTGCAGGATTAACTACTACTTGTCAGGAGGCTTCCACCCTGTGGGCTTCCACGTGGTCAACATCCTTCTGCACGGCGGCATCTCCGTGCTCATGGTGGATGTCTTCTCCGTGCTCTTCGGAGGCCTGCAGTTCACCAGCAAAGGCCGGAGGGTGCACCTGGCCCCCAGAGCATCCCTGCTGGCGGCTCTGCTGTTTGCTGTCCATCCTGTGCACACCGAGTGTGTAAGTACCGCCTGCCTGTGACACTGCACACCTGTAAGACACAAGGAGGTGTCCCGTGCCAGCCAGCTCATTCCCTAAGACAGACTCCCTTCGGGCCATTCTGCGTTCCCGAGCTGCAGGAAGTACACGGTGCATATGCTCTAGGAATGGAAAGCACACCCTACGTATGCCCTGTCAGACACTGGCTAGCCTGTTTCTAGGTCAGAGACGTCTCTCTTTTTGTGTGTGTTTGTTTGTGTGTGTGTCTGTTTGTGTGTGTGTAGTGTTGGAGATTGAACCTGTGGCCTTGCACTGGACTACATCCCTAGCCCCTTTTATATTTTTTATTTTGAGACAGGGTCTCCACGCTGGGCTTGAATGTGTGATCCTTCTGCCTCAGCCTCCCAGAATTTTGGGGGACAGGTGTGCACCTTTGTACCCAGCAAGAGACTTAAAAACAAAAGTGGGCTACCCCGCTAGGGTGACTCTATGCTAAAGCTAAGGTATGTTCTCCAATGAGGCTGCCTACTCAGCTTGTGTGGTGACAGCAGCCATAAAGGTGTGAATGTCAGTATTGCCTAGCTCTGGGGTCAACGGTTAAGACCCATTCTTCAGCAAAGGTTCTAAGGGAGTTTGTCTGTGGTAGCTGACAGCTTCATGGTTTATAAAATACTTTCTCACCATCACGGTCATAACAACACTGTGATTTCTCACAGGCTAGTCTAGCAGTCCCCACTTCACAGGGGAGGCTGTGGCATGGGAGGGTACATAAAAGACCTGCCTAGGTTGGTAGCAGGTGAACATAGGCTAGGACCTGACTCCTGTTCTCCGAGGAGGCCTTGGTGCACCAAAGAGATGCTGACGTTAGGAGCATATTCTCAGGCCGGGAGATGGGGCAGCTCTTGACGGGAGTCCACCCTGCTCTACATGGTCACATCTTTGCCACTGAGCTGCTCCTGAAGAGGTTTGGGACCAGCCGTGTTTGGAGTTAACTAGACTTTGGTGAGGTTGTCGGGAACACTCCCTGCAACAAGCCCTTGCCCGAAAGGCACCATGTTGGCTGGGGGAAAGGATTTGATTTTAATCATTCGTTCTGCAAGCCTGAAGTGCCGCTATAAAATACTGCATGTGTAATTTATCACTTCTCACAATGAGCTTCTGTATTTAATAGGCCTTAAATACCTACATCTAACCAGTTGCCCCAGTGAGCAGCTGGAAGTTCAAAATGTTGAGCAGAATTTCTCTTTGTGGCATCCAATTTTATTAAAATATCTGTCCTTTGACATCAAGAGTATTGTGGAATTGGTATCACAACCTTCTAGTATCTTTCTGAATGTCACTTTTTTACCTCAGGAAATGCAGAGGATTTAAGGCCTTGATAGGGAAGGGATTGGTGTTGTAAGAATTTAGCCATAGACTATTTGTCCATAACTCTGCCAAGTTGAAATTGGTTTCAGTCTGAATTCTCAATGGTCTAAATGTTTATCAGACCCAGAAATTGATCATAAAATAAACAAGGGAATCTCTGAAACAGTCCTGCATCACAGTTTTGCTTCTTGACTAATTTAGCATGATCTTAAAAGTAAAATGAAATATTTGAATTATTAGCCCAAGAAAATTTTCTAAACTTCTGGTTTTAAATGTTGAGAAATTGATTTATAAAAGGCTTTTAAGCCAGCTGTGGTGACATATGCCTGTAAACCCAGCACTCTGGGAGACTGAGGCAGGAATATCATAAGTTAAAGCCCGGCCTGGAAAATTGTAACGACTTAGCAAGACCCTATCTCAAAACAAAAAAATAAAAAACTAAACATTTCAAGTGCCAGCACAGATGACAGAATATGCTTACACGTGCACTCGCACGCGTGTGCATGTACACACACACACACACACACACACACACCCAGCTAAAGGGACTCAAAACATGTTCATCCTTAAAGGCCATATTCCAGATTTTTCAGAGGAGCTGAGGCAGGTCTAGCCACAAGGAGAAGAGACTGAAAAATCTCTTCATCTCTTCCACCTTCATTCCATGACTGCCATTCGGACTGAGTTTTCAGGAAGTACTTGCGGATAGTCTTCTAAGACAGGTGTGTGGCATGTCTGCTTTTTGTTATTTCTGCAAATAGTGTTCAGTTTCCTCTTATCTACACCCTGTATTAGCTCCCATTCTGAGTTTTTACAATTCCAGCTTTACAAATGTGCAAGGAACAGGAGACCCTGAGCTGCGTGCTGTCCTGTGCCCACGCCCTGCAGGGCTCCCACTGCAGGCCGTCCGCAGCGTCCCTACTCCACATGCGGGTCCCGGTAGGGTGAGGACAGTGGGGACTTGGGGAATGAGTGTGGCTCTGACCACACTTACCAGGGAAGATAGTGTCAGTACAGACCAGGCTTCAGTGACCGAGCTCTCTGTGTGTTGGTGTCTGTGTGTTTTGTGTCTGTACTTCTCCTCGACATTAACACCAACAGTGGCTTCTTCACCCATTGCACATAATCACCTGCACTTTCTAGTCTCCTCGGGTGACCCACCTTCCCATGTGCCTGAGACTAGAGCGAGGTGGCCCATTTGAGTGGGTCACTTGAGTCTGAGCCCCTCCCAGGCTCTGATTGGCAGGGAAATCTTGCAGTCCCTGTCATTTGCTCCACCCCTTTCTCTGTCTCTATTGTGTATATTGCCCCAGATCACTCATGGATTTTGCTTTTCTTTTTCTCCAAAGCATTGGTGCAGATTTCAAGGGGCCTGAGTTCTGCTGTCAGAGAGCCAGGAAGGCCTCCTGCCCGCACTGAACCCAGACTCCATAAGGAAGAAATTTGGGGGTGTGCTTCCCTGCCCCTCCGCAGTTCCTTTTTAGGGCTCCTATGCAGATTGTTCCCCCTGAAGAAACGACACCATCTGCTTTATGAATTCAGAGGTGTAGCGGTTTATCTAGAAAACCCTGATAGGACTCTTGCAGGTTATTTGGAAGAAAAATAATTACTCTTTGTAAGGAAATTTGCCTGAAGACATATTTTCTGCTAGTGTCAGGGAAAAAAAAATAAAGCCTCATTTTGTTTATGCCCATTCTCCAAGCAGTCCCTCCTTGGTAGCCTTTTGCCATTTTTTTCCTGTGAGATCTCTTTTTAATCTTGTGCCAGAAATCCACTGTGAATGCTTAATGCTTCTTCACTTAAAGACACGTAGCCATACTTTGTAAAAATTTGTTTTTCTTTAGGTCAGTAGAATGTACATTGCTTAAATACCCAGAAATGTCTTCAATAACTTAAAAAGAGGAAAACGTTTCCTTGGAAATAAGTTTATGAGATTTAAAGCGCATCTCCATGCAATTCTTGGTCCCTTCCTCAGCCACCCAGAGAGCAAGGTGTTTCTGCAGACTCATCCTTTCAGCCCCATCCCTAGTGTTTGTCCAAGCTGTTTCTGCCCCTCCTCTCATTTCAAGAAGCCTCTTCCCCTGTTCTTTCGCCCTCTGGCAGCTTCCTCCGACCCTATTGCTTGAGGTGCCCTTGGACTAGCTTCTCTGGATCAGCTTTACTCTCCCCTCGGAGGGCTTGGGAGTCCTGTCCGTCCTCAGCCTAGGTGGCTGCAGCTCTGAGAAGCTCCCCTCTCCCCCTATCCTGAGGGGAAGACCACGGAGCTGGATGCTCCAGCCACTTCCTCATGGAGGCGAGCCCTGCCTCCTCCAGAGCCCTTCTGTCTTTGGTCCTTTTTCCTGTTTCTAGACGCACCCTGTAGGATTTAGGAGGGGAACACACCAGGAGCCACACCTACCGCGCATGCCAGGTGTTGTTCTGTGTTGCTCCCCTGTCCTTACTTTACTGTGCCCGATTGAGTGAGCTCACTGCCCTGAGCACTCCGGGGCGGTCACTCTGTAGCCGTTCCACCCACACAGTCACTACGTGGCTTAACCTCCAGCATGCTGCCACACTCCTCCCAACCTGCTGAGCCTTTGTCCCAGGCTGCTTCTCAGTGGGATTTGGATTCATCATCTGGTTCATCCTCTTGGCCCATGCATGGCTTCTCCCTACCCCTCCAACGGGAGGTCATGATCAGGGTCCAGAGTAGACGTCAGCATTACACATGCGATCACCTCGCCAAGGTGCTTTCTTAGCTGTTGGTTATGCGTGCACTTGGGAGTTGCATGTATATACAGTGATTTTCACAATTATTGAGTATCCACTTATCTGCATTCAGTAGTCCTTTATTGTGTATCTCACATACCACATGTCTGTCCTTTAGGACCTGGTTAACCTACCAGACGTTAGACTCCTACAGAGTCACAAAAGAGCTTTGATATGTGTCACATTCTGGTGCTAGTTTAGTTAGTAAAGGACCTCACACAAATTAGACCAGCACCCATGAGTTACATCTTTACTGCGGTGAAACCTTTGGAGAACAACTGTTGGAATAATCAGCCTGAAAGAAATCAACACAAATTGTATATCACTTCATTATCATTAAGGAAAAGGCAGAATCGACATACAGGAAAAGGGAAGAGAAAAATAAAAGACATGTCATTCCCGTTTCATCTTACTTGGTAACCACTTTTGACACAGTCTGCTTTCAGGTTAACCCACATGAGCAGTTTTGGTCTGAAGGGAAGAAAAGATGGGAGAGGCAGCTCGGGAGGATGATACCTATGCCCTTGTCCATCTCCCTTACAGCTTCCAACACATACTTCTCACCTGGGGTGCTTCATGCCATCAAGTTTTATTTATTCAGTATCATACCCTCTGGAGTTGATAACATTTCCTAATGGAAAATCCACTGTGGGGACATCGGAAGCCCAAGTCCCTTGAGCTGTGGGGTGCAGTGTATTAAGTAACAAGGCTGTCACTGGGCGCATTGTCACTGCCTGTGTCTGGTGTACGGCACCACTGTCACTGTGTTCTGACCAGCCTGGGCTTCTCCTGGAACTAGTGACACACAATCCTAAACCAAACCAAGCCTTCTCCCACCTGGGAGAAGAGAGCCGAGCGGAAGATAAGACCACAGGGTCTTTGCACTGTCATGCAGGTTATTGTTACAGGTGACAGAGTCTATAAGTTTCCTGTTTTCTATGTCTAAGGAATGTTTTATATTTTCAGAGTTTAAGAATGTTTAAGTGTGTTTATGTAAATCTTTTTTTTCCCCCTTTTAAGGTTGCTGGTGTTGTCGGCCGCGCAGACCTCCTCTGTGCCCTGTTCTTTTCGTTATCTTTCCTTGGCTACTGTAAAGCATTTCGAGAAAGTAAGCATTGTGTTTGCCTTCTTCATTTTCCGCCTTCTTGTGGTTTTGTCCTGTTGAGCAGTGTTTGAACAGATGGGAAATTACCTGTTTATATAAAGTTATCACTTTGAGGTTCAGAGGTGTAAACTCTTTGGATACATCTGTTTACTCCATTGCCTTTCCCCCAATGCAAAGTTTTAGATCAATAATGCAGAGTCTTAGGTCAATAATCCAAAATTCTGATGCCAACATTCATATGAGAATATCCTGTAGGGTTGTGAAACTACCAGCGAAGCAGCAGCAGAACTAATGAAGCACTTGGGATCGGTTTTTGCTGTTGTATTTAGCCTGCGGCCCCTCCGTAGCTTCTCTGGGTGGATTGGAGTGGCCCTGAGAGTTTCCACCCAGCTCTTCCTCCTCCTCCCTCCTGTGCGGGCCAAACGGGGCCCAGGCTGTGTCTGGGAGCACCTGTTTTCTCACGCCAGCAACTCCACTCACGCAGTGGGAGGAGCCCCCACACCCTGAGACTGTACTGACGCTCACTCACGGCACCCCCCACCCTCCTTGCTCATTACTGCTTCATTGTGCCTAGACAAAACCATCATTTCTTCCTGGGACTCGTGTTTCCTGACACGTCAGAGGGTTGGGGATGGGGGTAGAAGAGAGAAGAGCAGGAGTAACAGTTCTCCCTCAGGCTGCAGGGTAGCTTAGCAGGAAGACACGTCCACCCTTCCCGGGGTGGGATCTCCCCATCCATGGTGATGGAGCCACTCCCCAGGGGTGTGGGAGGTGGCACCTGCCCGCCATTAGTGAGCTCAGTGTTGCTGGTATCCTTGTGTGGCTTTTCCATAAGCCCAGAATCAGGAACTGAAAATGAGAATGGGAAGAGGAGGGAACATTAGTTACTACCTCACAGATATGTTTGTTACAAGTAATGTCGCCACCTGTTCTGAACTTGGCAGTTAAGTCTGAATTTGGAGATACGCAGAATAAGAATTTATCAGCAGACATATTTTTCCAAAGAACATTAAAAAATAAGACGTGTGGCTTTTCTCAAAGACAAATCTAAAGTTTCATGAAATTTCATTTAATGACTTTTAACATAGCTTCCATTAAAGTGGCTACTCACTATTGTGAGTTGCAAAGACATCAGAAGTGCTTTCTGAAGAAAGTACCAAATGTCAGTAGATTTGATAATGTGGATGCATCATTAGGAAGTATACTAGAACCTCTCTCTACCTTTAAAGATTACTATACTTTGGTTTCTTTTCAGATCATATAAATCTTTTTGTTTTGTTTTGTTTTTTGTTTTTTTGGTACCGGGAATCGAACTCGGGACCTTGCGCTTGTGAGGCAGGTGGCGGAACCACTGAGCTAAATCCCTGGCCCCTAAGATCATATAAATCTTTCATCTTTTATTTTTAGAGACTGCTCTTGTGAGAAACTGTCACAAAACTAAAAATTCTCCTGAGTGAACTGATATTTTTAGTAACCTCTTTTAATGTAATGTTCTCTCAGAATGCTGAAACCTAAAGACATTTTACATTCTTTTCCTGGATTCTTTACTATTTTTCTGTACCCCAGTTCACAAATTTGTGCCTTAATATTTATATATGTACCTCTTCTTAACTAATTTGTATGTTATAAAATTATTTTCAAGAGCCATCCATACAAAAGATAATTTTAATAAAGCCTTTGGAAACTGATAATGTGCATAAAGGTACTTACCTGTGGGATGATTTTTCAGTTAATTAGTGCTTTGATTCATGGGCCCTTGGCAGAGTATTCTTCAGTAGTAACAGATTTATTAACCCTAAGTAGCCACATGACCTTCCTTTTTTGGTTCAGTAATTTTCTTTTGGCATTTCTAACATGTTTAATTTAGGGTTAGAAATAGTTGAAGCTTTAAGGTGAAATTTGTAAATGTTTTTGAAGAAGTTAACCTGGAAATATCTCATGTTTGCAGATGCACAGCAGTGATGGATGAGGCTAATGCAGAGACCCTTGTAAGATTATGGACATAGAACCCTGTGTGCGGCACACATCTAGAATGCCAGCAATCTGGGGGGCTGAGGCAGGCTGTGCAAGCGTAAGGACCTGAGTTCGATCCCCGGTACCAAAAACAAACAAACAAAAATAAATAAATAAATAAATGTATAAAGGGTCAGGGAGTGTAGCTCAGTGCGAAGGCCCTGAGTTCATTCTCAGTACCACAAAGTTAAAGGAAAAGGTTGTGGATAAATGTTCTTTTGGTGGAAATTAGTTTCCTGGAACATTTAGAAGACAGTGGGCGGATAAGGGAACCTGTGCAGAAGCCTTTCTGTTGCCCCAGATCTGCAGCGCCATCATCTTCCCGAATCAGTTCTGTGAGCTTGAACCCCCTTAGGAAGAGGAAAGAGCCGATCCCTGCAGCCCAGAGTGGCCTCCATCCCACTCTCTGGTCCTCTGCAGTCCCCGACAGCTGACTGCCAGTGTGGAGAGGACAGGTCTGTAGCAGTTTGCTCTGCTGGCCCATCCAGGCCTCTGCCTTGACCCTAAAGGGATTATTGGCCCTGGGTTTTGGCGTCCTTTCTGTCCCTCACGGTCTACTTGCCTGGGCAGGCTTGACATTCCACATCATCCATTTAAAGCGCAGATTAAAACACCCATTTCTCAGGCCGCTGTCCAGGACACTGTGAATTGGTTTTTACTGTGGTTTTCTGATCCCGGCCACTGTTACTGACAGATTGATCAGATTCTGCTTCCAGATGCTGCCAGAGATGCGGAGGCGCAGAGCAGCCTGGGTCCTGGAGAGAGGATGGCGGCCACCTGGGGATTCGCTTCCTTGGGGGTCTCCCCTGAGTCCCACTCGTGACCCGCCTGTCACCTCAGGACCTCGGGACCGCCTTGCTCCTAGGCCCAGTAGGCGCCAGAACAGCCCTTCGCTCTGCATCTCTTCCTCATCACAGCTCCCAGCCCACCCCATCTGACTAACCCGAAACAGAGCTGAGGAGTGGGAGGACGCCACTCTTCACCTCCACGTGGTCACCATGTTTCCAGCCATTGTTCCGTGTTTCTGATGTTCTGCACCCTGTCGAACACGCTAAATGTAGTGGGTTCTTTGTAGACAGTGGCTCTTCTCACTAGTCCTTAAGCCTCACCTTAAAGTGCAGCTTCACACATATGGCGACTGGGAGTCTCCTAAGAGGAGCACAGCCACGTGTGGTGGCATAGTCCTGTAACCCTGGCACGCACGCTAGAAGGCTGTGGCAGGAGGATCCCAAGTTCAGTCTTAGCCTGGCCAGCCTAAAGAGACACTGTCTCAGAAATAAAATGTTTTTAAAATGCTGGAGATGTAGCTCAGTGCAAAAGCCCTGCATTCAATCCCTAGTACTCCCCTACACACACACACACGCACGCACGCGCACACACACACACACACACACACACACACAGCGTAGTGTCCACACACTGAGGGTACCTTCACAGAGGAGAAGCAGTAAGAGCCCTGTGTGCAAAGATTGCTCTGCTCCAGGTGGTCATGAAAAGTACTCGGTCTCCATTCTGTCCTAAAATAGCCCAGAGACTCACAAGTTAGGCCGTGGGTCCCATCCCCAATGATGAATCAAGCTGGAAGTGTGATCCTTGAGCCAGGCTTTGTGTCTGGTGTTGAGAATGCAAGAACTAGAAACCCAGAGTCCATGCCCTTGAGGCTCATGGGTGTGTGGGATGCTTGTTTGGGGTGTTATTTTGGGGTGCTGGGATCAAACCCAGACCTTTGCACCTGCTGGGCCTGCACTCTGCCATGAGCTGCACACGCAGCCCCAGTGCAGTCGATTTTGATGGAAAGACCACTCCATCTCCAGACTTCCTGTGAATTCTGTCCTCCTGCTGCCTTCTTCCCATGTGCTCAGCAAGTGTCACCTTCTTTTCATGGCATTTGCAGAATGGACGGCTGTGGCCTTCATACCACTAATTTCTTTTGACATTCTCTCTTAAATTCCCCTTGGTCCAGAAGATCAGCATTGTTAATAACAGTGGGCATTCGGGCGTCTGTTTTCGTTTGGAGTTTGAAAGAGCTTAAGCATTCATCACGATTTTGTTTCCCCTTGCTGGTCAGTGCAGGTGTACGAAAGCCAAGCAATAGGCACAAGTGTTTATGCCATAGCTATGACAGTTTCTTGTCCCAGTTGCCCAGGTTCCTAAGTGTTTTGCAGAGAAGCCAAAGGCTTCTGTGACTGAAGTTAAGTCCAGTATTTATTGGGATGCAAATAATAATGTTGTTGAATGTTTAAATTTAATGTTTAAAGTGCTTATTGAAAGACCTGCTCTTTGTACTTCTTAACATACAGGGAAGAAATAAATCCAACATTAGTTACACATGATCTTGAAGCTAAAGAAAGGTTTTTTAAAAAAGAAGAACAGATTTAATACTATTTTGTAAGGGAACAAAAAATTAAGTACCCTGAAATTAATTATGTAACTAGTTAAAAATCTCTTTCAGAGGCTGTATCTCTTTTTTGTGACCTCCTTAGCTTTCTTTATAGATGCAGTGTCTGTAGTATAAAGCTCAAGACAGTTTTTAACTGCCTCAGTTTATGAGCAAGCAACTCTGTGCTAACCTCTGGAATCCTGGCATTTGCAGAAAATGAAAATCCTGGTCATATAATGTTTCCAAGCAAGATCTTTTTAAAAGAAAGTCATTATTTCAGATAAAGTTGATGGTACCCTGGGTATTCTTTTCTGAGTGCCCAAAATAAAAAGTGCTATTCTTATGATGAAATGTTTGCCCAATATTTCTAGCCTGGTATTTCTGAGTGGGGACAGGTAAACCCTGCCCAATAAGTTTGTTAGAATAGTGAAAACAGTTTTGTTTTTAAACTGATACCTCAGTGGGAGGTATGGTAAGTCTCATTAATAGTGGAGAGGAGGCCTGGGGATTTAGCTCAGTGGTTCCAGCCCCTGCCTCACAAGCGCAGGGTCCCGAGTTCAGTCCCCAGTACCAAAAAAAATAATAATGGGGAGAAGACTCTCTCCCATTG